ATGGAGAAAAATCCTGTTCCAGCTGCATTTCGCGGTCATCAGAATCACGTGATTGCAAACAACCTATTTTAATGATATTCTAATGGGCAGCTTTGTTATCACAAAACCCGGATAACAAACGCTGTAGTCCAAACGAGCCGTTCGTTGTAGTTCTTGAAAAGGGATTTTTTAAAACGAAATATCTCCCTTTTGAGTGGACTTTGAGTTGTAAGTTTGAAGATCTCTGATCCACACTGACTAAAACTCAAAAAGTAAAAAAGCATAATGGGACCCCTTTAAGGAAACTTTTGACTTGTCTCCCGAGGCCACAGGAGAGCGCCATTCACTCTGATTGTATTTAAAAACATATGAGACACAGTGAAAAGGAATAAACCTCCACAAATTCGCGACGTGTTTTCTAAAAGTGTAAACTGTTTTAACTTTGCACGGCTACATCTCTTGTGTGAGACGCGAGTGCAGCAGTCGTAGTTGTCCGTCCCCCCCGACTGAGCCTGGTTTCTCCCAAGGTTTTTTCTCCATTCTGTCACCGATGGAGTTTTGGTTCCTTGCCGCTGTTGCCTCTGGCTTGCTTAGTTGGGGACACTTCATTTCCAGCGATATCGTTGACATGATTGCAAAGATACTATTTAAACTGAGCTGGATGTTGACATCACTGAATTCAATGATGAACTGTCTTTAACTGAAAAATTAGTGTTTACTATTGTCATTTTGCATTATTGACACACTATTTTCCTAATTAATGCTGTTCAGTTGCTTTGACACAATCTGTATTGTTAAAAACGCTATATAAATAAAGGTGACTTGACTTGACTTAAAAAAAAGCACTGAATATGCATTCTGTGTGAATGGCTTGGTTTCGGTTTTAACCCATTCAAGATCTTCTCCGCATTGAGCTTCTATATTTCTCGAATATTTTGAATGCATAATGCAGCAACTGCGCATCTCGTGGGCTAGACTAACAAAACATTAAAATGCAACAACATCACTTACATCATCATCATCTCGTGCTCCACTGATGACACTCCCTGACGCACTCCTAACATTTGATTGTACTATTTTTGCATTCAAATGCAAATGTTTACTTTAAATTCGACTAATATTATTTTTTTTATTCACAATCTCCTCTTCACAGGCAGTCACACAGCACTCAATTCAGCATGTGTTCATGTTTGCCTGTGCTGTCTGCGTCACTCAGAGTACGTGCCTATATCGAACATTTTTTAATATAGTTATCGAATAAGGTGTACCGTCGATAAATATCGATACAGTTTTATCACCCAGGCCTACGTTTGAGATTATATTTTAAAACAACTCAGCTTCTGAATAAATCAACACAGGGTCCGCTGAACTCCTAGTCAATAGTTTAGCAACATCGGGGAATCTTTTTGCAATATTTTTGTGCAGTCCTATAGGCCTACATAAAATATCTTATACATTAAATGTGTATGGCTGGTTTCAGGGTGTTTTCACAAGTAATCTATCTGATATGTAGTTAAAAACTATTTTTAATATTGCAACAAAACCCAGATTAGTTATCACAACTGCAATCCTATTGCCAGTGAGACAGTAAACAAACAAACTAATGTGGACAAAATAATGTGACCACCAATTATTTTAGAGGTTGAGACTACAGCAGGCTAAAGTGAAAAACAAATGTTGTTGGATATCAGTGTAGTACAAGCAATGTTTAGTACAAACCTGTTGAAAAAAACAGCATATGCTGGTTAGGTATGTTTTGACGCTGGGATGCTGGTTTATGCTGGTCCTTTTGCTGGTTTATGCTGGTCCTTTTGCTGGTTTATGCTGGTCCTTTGCCAGCACATGACGAGCATAAACCAGCACATGACCAGCATAAACCAGCATCCCAGCGTCAAAACATACCTAACCAGCATATGCTGTTTTTTTCAACAGTGTGACTTGTTAGACACTAAATAAATAATTAAATAAACTCATGAAAGCCTGTTTAGCAGGGGCAACTGTAACCTTGACTGTCCAATCATTTGGTGTTTTAAGAGCTGATTATAACTGCATACACCAAGCATGGCAAGACTTCAGCAGCACAGAAGAAAAGTGCTTGAAAACCAAAAGTAAATTAAGGGGATCATCGATCACTAAGAAGAATTGTGTCCAAACAACACAAAACTGCTCCTGTAAAGTGACAGCCTTGAAAACCATGTATCCACAAAAACAGACCACAGAGAACTTCACAAAGCCAACAACTATGAAAGAGCTGCAACTGCTAAAACACCAAGCTGGAACACCAAGATGAACTTTAACATCTGCCCTTGCCAGACAAATCATGATAGATGACATTCAACTGGAGACTATTCAGAAGTTGTATGAATGTTCTAAGCTGTATTAAAGGCAAATTATTTTAAAACACCTTAATAAATAAATATTGCCAATTTCCCAGGTGTTTATATGATTTTGTCCAACCTCTGTATTTACCAACATATTGTATAAGTTACTAAAACATTTTAAAATGTCTCATGAAGCTGTGAACATTTCTGAATAAACTATTGGATCAGAGTTTTGAATTTGTTGAATTTCAATTAATCAATTCATTAAAAATGAACAGTTTAAACTGATTCATGGAAACTAAATATTTTTGATATACTAAGGTTTAAACACTATTAAAACGTCTCCATTTTAAAACTTACTCTCAAAGTGGAATTGAAACTAATAATTATCTAATGATGCGATCTTTATGAAACTTAAATCAACACAGTAAATTCACAGCAATATTCATAACATGTCAATTGTAAATCGCAAGCGAAATCATCGCAAATACTGTATAAAATGAATATTCAACATATTGCTCAGCTCTACAGCTACAACATGGCAAACGAATGCTCTATTACTGCAGCAGAAACCAATATTAACTAGAAAACTGCAACTACAGTAGTCCAAAATGTCTGCACTGTAAAGCCATCTTTATAATCAAAGTCCTTGAGGGAACTTAAATGCTTTCAGTCTCTTTATTAAACACCTAAGGAGAACAAGAAATGCTCACAGCTGCAACCTGATTCTGAATCCAGACTTTAATGACCACATCATGAACGCTGTTGAAGTGTTTTGTCTTCCTACATTTCATATCTTATCAGCGATAAACCACCGCAGGCAATGTCAGATTGACAAACAGATTGACTTTAATTATAAACAAATACTGAAAGCAGAGCTATCACAGCTTTACTTCCTGTGTTAATGTGTAGATATAAATAAACACGCAATCTGTGCAATCTGATATATTAGTCATTCGGTTTTCAAAGCTAGAGCAACCAAGACAGCTAATGGGATTACAAATTGAAGCTATGAAATCAAGAACTCACTGAGAAGCAGAACCTTTTCTCTCAATTGAAGAAAATTGCTGAGTCCATCTCTACCTGCCTTTCTACTGGTGAGGATTTCTGGAAGTCTAAATGTGAGTGGGCATGAAGCTAGGAAAATTGGGATATTTATAAAGAGCTTTGATTCTTTAGAATGTTTAGCACTGAAGAAAAAACGAATTAAACCTACTCACTTTTGCACACTTGAAAACTTAATATTCAGCATTTGCATATTGTTCACATCTGCAAAAGCAGAAATGCTGTTGGTGAGAAGGTTTTTGTCACACCAAAAATAGGTGAATATAATGCTTGCATAATATTCTCTATAGTAGAGTGTATGACTTCATTGTGGATTACTTGATAATTTTCACTCGGCAGAAAGTTCCGGCGCAGATGTTTCAACAGCCCTGCAGCCTGAGAGACAGTGAATAGCATGAAGCCTGCTGTTTTCTAGAGAGCTCACACAGCGTGTGCCGGATGAGCCCATTTGTATGAGAGGAGACAAACTCTCAGCCAAACTGCGGTACAGAAGATAACTAGTCATTTTCCTCATTGATGGATGTCCGAATAATCGGTGCACATGATTATTTAAGGAATCTGGAGGAATTACAGGCTAAAAATATTACCTATTAGTATGCGTCTAATTCATTGAACTTAAAATTGAAAATTGTGTGACCTAATGCAATTAATTAAACTGCAACTGACTGCAAGTTAATGAAATAGTTTGCATGAGCTGTGTTGATCAACGTGAAGGGATCTACAACAAAAACTCAAGAGTGGTTTTTGCATTTTCTCAGTTTTCGCTAGGAACAAAAAAAAAATTTAAAAAAATTAACATGAGAAAACTGCCACCCTCATTGGTCTTTAAAAGGCATTTTTAAAGGAACATACTTTGATTGTTTGTTGTAATCTTGTTGGCAGAAGTATTATTGAATGGAAAGCGTCAAAGGCGTTCTTGGAGGGCATTTGTTTTAGGTGAGTTTACACTAAAGATTTACAACACGATAAAGCTTAAACTTGTAAAGAATGTTGTCTAACATGTTTCTATGACGTGTGTGCAACAGCTTGAAGCCACTTTTTCACCATCTCTGATCAACAGACCATTCATTACCAATGGAGAATTGTATGGGAGCTGCATGGAGATTTAATCAAATCTAGTAGTGTGAGATAAGAACTATCAATATTTTCCACCAAATGTTATTCTTGAAACATTTCTTTGGGTGGTTATGATTAATTACCACAAGCTATTAACATCAATCATAAATAGAAATGTTTCTTGAGCACCAAATCAGATAATGACTGTTAATTCAGTTTTCCACCACAGGAATGCATTGCAGTTCAAAAATATATTACAACAGAACAGTTATTTTACTTTGTTTTTTTTTTACTTTATTTTTTGTATAATGGTCTTGCCGTATGTATAACTGCATGGAGGTTGTTACATGTTACAGTAGGTTAAGACAACACAGCATACTGTATAGGTGTTATGCAATTCCATTATCATATCAAATACCACTGACATTGGTATTCACCAGTGGTAAATACCACTGACACAGTACACAGTAATCAAAGATGCCTAATCCCACACAAGTGTCCCAGTAGAATGCAAAACTCAAGTAGACAGATAAAGGGCGGACTTGATCTTAAATAAAAGACTAAGGGATGGCTGCTGACCTGTACTGAGCTTGGAAGTGCTCTTGTACGAAACTGTGTCGAGCTCCAGGCTGCTGTGAGTTTGCTGGGCCAGGGCATGAACTCTCTTCCAATCCCACAGGACCCTGAGAGGTGCAAGCAGAAGGAATAAATGGAAAAATATATTTAGCAGTTTTTCACAGTGGATTTGGGATGTATAACTACAGTTTACATACGGAAAGTACAGATTATACATTGAAAGCACTGAGACTGACTGCAGAAAAGTTTTAATGCAACCAGATTTATTTAGAAAAATACAGGCTGTGAATTACTATCTAACTGAGAATGATATAGCTACTGTCAAAACACTTATTTTTCATTCACAGAAATATGATCACTACACTATGAAGATACTGACATTCATAAAACTCCTTTGAATTATAGTTTTTTTTCTGTTGGGTGTTCTTGGCCTAGATTTCTTTGGACTAGTATCTTTTCATTTTCTCCTCTTATGTGTAAATTTCAGCCCTAAGTTATGCTGTTCATGTTTTTGTCACTTTTGACTGCCGCTCAAGACACCTTGTCCAAGGAATAACACCAGTAAACACAGAGAAAGAAAACGAGAAGTTAAAAAAAAGAAAGCATGCAAAGCAGTATTCCTGATTCAATTATTAGAATTATATAAGCACACAATGGATAAGTTCCT